GAGCAACTAGGTGAATCACTGGCTGGCTGCTACACTGGACCCTACCTGCTTGTCTGACTCTGCTTATTTATTCCACATTTTAGCTATCTCCCTACGGCATGAATGAGCAAAGGGTATGCAGTTTCTTTCACCACTTAACTTCTGTAAAAAAAAGTATGACATCATAACTTGGACAGCAATTGGTCTGTTAAAGTGTTCAATTGACAACAACGTATGCATGAAAAATAGCAGGTGTTGGTACTGGAATGAGGCCAGCACTCCAAGCCAGGGATACCTCCACTTGGATATAATCTCCCTAACTGATAAATTATTAAATTGCAATTTATCCAATTACATATGAAGCAAAACTATTCCATAGAAATGAACTGTACATTTACATTTAGACACATACTACACATTACACTATGGAATGGTTAAATGTTTTTTCTAAAAATCTCATATTAAAATCAATGTAGCCTGCATTAAAATACTCTCCCCTAACACAACCTACTTCAGAAACACAAACTTCTTTGTGAAGCAATTAGGGTTGCTAGAAACATAACATACCTGACCCAAGCTCACAAGAGGAAGCAAATGAAAAGTTAAGCAACCTTTTCTCCTTACCCACAGACATATACCTTACCATTAACACAATTACTATACACCACAGATCATGTACTTCAACCTTAAATCTACCTCTGCAACCTTCTCTTCTCCACATAGCCCTTTACCAAACTACCTTATCCTAACATTATTATTTGTGGACTTTTGGTAGAATAGTATGTTGTGCTGAGAAAAGTTTGGTAAAGGGGTTGATGGAAGACTGGTCTCCTTAGAGCATATTTAATTCCCTTACTTTTCTGGGTTTAAGACAGGTATGTTATGTTTGTAGTGACTCTGCTTCACAACGAAATCTGTATATTAATTTGCTAGATTATTTTAAATAGGGGCATGGTGCTGATTGAAGGATGGGATGGACTTGTGGGGTATGTTTAATTCCAGATACTGACAGGGAAAACTTCATGCACCAGCAATTGGTAAACATGAATAAGGCTAAGATTTTTTCACAGTTATTTGTAGTAAAAGTCATAAACAGGTCACGGGCAATAAACAAAAAATCACGGAGCCCATGACTTGTCCGTTACATGGGGGGTGGGGACACAGCCCCAACTCCAGCGGCTGCAGTGGGGGTCGCAGCCACAAGGGACACACAGCCCTGGCTCCAGAGCAGGCCCAGCTGCGGGACAGGGGTGCACAGCCCTGGGAAGGGGAAGGACATGGCCCTGGGAAGCCGCAAGGGGGGCGCGCAGCCCCAGCTGCAGCCTCCAGTGAAAGCCGCAGGGCTAGGGCGCGCAGGCCCCGCCAAGCCCAGGACACCGCAGGACTTGGGCGCACGGACGTGCCTGCAGTCCCGCCAAGCCCAGGACGTCGCAGGGCTGGGGCACGCGGCCCCGGCTGCAGTCCCACCAAACCTGGGACACCGTGGGGCCCTTCCCCAGTCCAATGCTGTTTCCTTTGTTCTTGAAGTGTCATTGATGCCAGGGGTAGAGAGAAAGGGAGAGATAATTTGGGGCATCTGCTCTCTCTTCTTATAGTTCTTTCCCTTCTTTGAAAATCATCTCCAGCTGAGGATCAGAAGACAGAAAGTCTGTGTGGACGGGAACCCCAAGCTGTTTCTTTGTCAAGATGTAGATTTTTCACCCGTCAGCTAGCCTTTTGTAGTTTGTGAGCGCTCTCCAGATTTGGAACATGTCTTAGTAATATCATACAATAGCATCTTATAACTCTACATACAATGTTGCCACATATATTTTACCAGGACAATAATGCTTAGCAAATTATGAGTTTTCAAATGATACCTCACAATGCATACTTTGTACAAAATCTATCAATCTTGTAAAAGGGGTGAACACAAGGGCACAGACTGTCCCAACAGGCTGCCCAGAAGCTATAACCTTCTCTATTGCATCGTATCCACACGGGTCAGATAGGTCTGTTTCCGCAGAGATGCACAGGAGTTATACATTTTAAGGACAGAAGAGACCATTGTGATCATCTAGTCTATCCTTCTGTATAGGACTTCTCTGAATTAATTCCTGCTCCAAGTCCAATAGCGAAGATTGAACTAGAGCACATCTTTTAGAAAAGCATCCAAACTTGACTTAAAATTTTCTAATGAAGAAGAATCCCCCATACCTCTTAGTAAGTTGTTCCAATAATTAATTACCCTCACTGTTAAAAATCTGTGCCTTCTTTCTAGCCTGAATTTGTCTAACTTCAACTTTCAGCCATCTTGTTACTGTAAGTTCGTTAGGGCAGGGAACCATCATCTTGTTTTGTGTCTGTACAGTGCCTATGACAATGGGGTTCCATTCCATGACTAGGGCTCCTAGGTGATAATATTATTAATTATTTGAATTATAGTATGTAATTTCTGTTCCCCACGTAGTACTTACAGACCATGGCCAAGCCACCTCATAATCTTCTTCTCTGATAAATTTAAAAGATTGAGCTCCTTGAGTCTAGTACTATAAAACACATTTCCCAAACCTTTAATCAGTCTTGTTGCTTTTCTCTGAAACCTCTCCAATTTATCAACATCCTCCGTGAAACAGGGACACCAGAACTGGACACAGTATTCCAGTAGTGGTCGTACCAGTACCTCTCCTACTACTGAATATGCCCCCATTTAAACATCTGAGGATAGCATTAGCCTATTTAGCTACAGCATTGCTTTGGGAATTCATGTTCAGCAGATTATTCACCAGAAAGTCCAAGTCTTTTTCAGACTCACTGCTTCCCAGGATAGTCTCTCATCCTGTAAATATACCCTATATTCTTTGTTCCTAGATTTATACATTTACATTTGACCATACTGAAACATTGTTGGACTATGCCCAGTTCACTAAGCAATCCAGATCACTCTATCAATTACCTGTACTCTTCGTTATTTAACATTCCCCCAATATTTGTGCCACCTGCAAACTTCAGCAATAATGATTTTATGTTTTCTTCCAGGTCAAGGATAAAAATATTAAATAGCATAAGGAACAGATCCTTGTGGGACACCATGAGAAACACTCCCACTCAATGAGGATTCCCAATTAATTACATTTTGAGGTTAGCCATTTCTAAACCACTTAATACACCTCTACCCCGATGTAACGTGACCCGATATAACACGAATTCGGATATAACGCGGTAAAGCAGCGCTCCAGGGGGCGGGGCTGAGCACTCTGGTGGATCAAAGCAAGTTCGATATAACGCAGTTTCACCTATAACGCGGTAAGATTTTTTGGCTCCCGAGGACAGCGTTATGTCGGGGTAGAGGTGTATGTGCCAAGTTGATTTTGTATCATTCTAGTTATTTAAATCAAAATGCCGTGTGGTACTAAGTCAACTGCCTTACAGAATTCTAAGTATATTACACTAACACTCTTACCTTCTCATCCAAACCCGTAGTCTCATCCAAATGATACTAAGTTATTTTGACAAGACCTATTTTCCAAAACCCATGTTGATTAGTATTAATTATATCACCCTCCTTTAATTCTTTATTAATTGAGTCCTGTATCAGCTGTTCCATTATTTTGCCCAGGATCAATGTCAGGTTGAATAGGCCTATAAGTACCTGGATCATCCCATTTACCCTTTTCAAATACTGGCACAACATTAGCTTTCTTCCAGTACTCTGGAACTTACTCAGAGGTATTAAAAATCAACATTAACAATCCAGAGAGCTCTTTGACCAGATCTTTTAAAACTTTTGCATGCAAATTATCCAGACCTTCTGATTTAAGAATGTCTAACTTTAATAGCTGCTATCTAATATATGTCACTGTTTGAAAAGTGGGGAGTATTTCATCATCATCACATCATTTGAATACATCATCTGGCTTTGTCACAAATACTGAACACAAATATTTATTGAACGCTTCTGCCTCTTCTGAATTATTATTGACGATTCTACCATTTCCACCTACTAATGGACCAATAACATTGTCAGGGTTCCTTTTGATCCTGCTATACTTTGGACTCAGCCTGGGATACAAGTACAGATCCTGGGGGGGGGAGGGGAGGGGGGAGGAGAGCAGGCCTTTTATAGAGGTGGCAACAGGGGAAAGGAGCTACAGCTGAAGGCCCCTTCCGTACTGCCAAAGCGTCTTCTTGCACTGTCAAGATGGCCTCTCCAATCCTGACTGGCTTTTTTTTCTACCCTGGGAAGGGGGGGTTAATGTAATTGGGTTGTGAAAGAGTCCTTTTCCCCCATACACACCCGGCTGAGATCCCCACTGAACCCAGATCTTCCCTTTTGCCTCTGACTTTTCTCATCCTATGTCTCTCTGAAGCCTTCAGGAGGACCAGTCACTGAAAACACCTCAGAAAAGAAAGCAGAACTGAGAGGATAATCTCTCCAAAACATCAAATGCAGCCCTGAGACATGGCTGGGAATTAAACCGACAAATTATTAAGCCAAGCTGTTAGTCTAGTATTCTGTAATAAAGTTTGGAATTTTCCTCAGAAAAGCTCTGCAACAGGGAGATGTGGCTGAGCTGCCTGCTGCTATAGAGGCAGCACAAGCTGGAGGAAGCTTTTAGTATAGATAGTAAAGTTTTACACAAAATTAGTATAATTTTTATTATAAAATTAATCTTAAATTATATTAATCAGTAACTAAAAACAAGCTTGTTGATATTTACAACCAGAGGAAGAGTTTAGAACTCTGCATGATTATATTTTTATTTAACTCAATTTTTATGCCACTTATCTCTAAGAAATAAGACAAATAAAGCTCAAACATCAATAAGGAAGATTGTTTCATGCCACTTTTCCAAATCTATCAGGTCAGAAGAACTAAAACTGATAAAAGGAAGACTGTATCACCTACTGTATTACACCTCTCGATTAATAAAAGAATAGCACAGACATGAACATGAAAAAAATACAGGATTTCCATTTTACTTGAAGGAACAGTCTCACTGATTTAATAAATAAGATGGGGGAAGCGGGGGCTCTCCTACCTTGAAATGTGAAATTGAGTTAAATTTCTAAGTGATGATCGCCTTCCTCCATGTGCCAAAAATCCTGCAAGACACAAAAACAACAAAATTTAGTACTAAGACCCTCAAAACATTCCATTTAACTATCTGGCAAACTACATCTCACATTTTTGGAATTCAAAATTAAACCCCACTGTTGAAAGGGTACATAAAGTCACAATAATATCACATGAACAGCTCACAGCTTTCTACGGGGTATTAATGTATCAGCTATCACCTCTTAGTTCTCCTCACCATTAAAATTCCATAGTTGTAAATCTTTAACTGATCAAAATTAATTTTGATCACCTTGAGCACTTTTTTTCACCCTCAATGATTTTCATGTGAAGAACTGAGAAAAAGTATAATGTAGTGTTTCTTTCAATATATACACTACAGTGTAATATTTAAAAAGAAAGCACTTTATACCATTTTTTGCAACTACCCGTGACTATTTTTTTTCTGTGCACTACTAAGCTTTTTGGGTTAACTCCTGAAGACTTTACTTAGTTTTTATTCTGCTCTTCTTCAAGCACAACTCTCACTGAAGGGGAGTTAAAACGGAGTCAAAATTTCAGGATTTAGTTTTGTTCTTGTATCAAGTATGTACAGTAGCTGTTTAATTAGTTCATCAGTCCACATCACCTGGTATCTTTGAAAAGGTCACATAAATATTGTACTGTATTTTGAAACATAGTATAAAGTCTATGGAAAGAGTTTTATCACATATATTAGTATTGTGATGTGTGCAGAATCCTGCTTGTTGGCATCTACTGGGACATTATCACAGAAGGCTTCATTGATATACCTGTTGCTGTTTAGAACAAAAAAGTTGAAAGGAAGAAGAGAGGTATAAAACTAAAATTAATTAAGTAACAGTTAGGGTTGTATCAGGACACATTCACCAACTCAAAAACTGAAAAGCATGGAAATAAGTTAAGGGACAAGTCTCCTGCATTCCTTGCCACTGTCACAATGCCTACAACACTGGCAAATAACACATTCCAACACTACATAAGGCTTTCATTTCCACCTCCAACAGATATCAAGAAGCAATACATACCCCAGCTTCATCAAACTCACACTGTAGTGCAAAACCTTAACAGGGACCTCTCAGATGCTCTTGCACCAACATTTTGGCACATCTGACAGTCACACATTCCATACATTTGGGAAGTTATTCTGCCTTAACATTTCTGAAGTTACCAAGCACCTTCCCATCTCCAACTTCCTATTCCTGAGCAAGTCATAACCACTAAACTCCAACACGTGACATCAGCCAACTTCCTGGATACCTTACAGTCAGAGTTCAAACCAGGGCACAGAACAGAGAGAGCTATAGGTGCACTAAAAGATGACCAGTTCTTATAGCCAATGACAGGATCTCCATGATTATGCTGCTGGACTTCTCTGCAGCTTTTGACACATTAGACCACTAGATACTGCTAACCTACCTACATGACAGACCAGAAACTGATGGCCCAGCACCGAAGTTGTTCCTATCATTCCTCTCCAGCAAAGCCCATAGTGCTTATGGGTAACTGTTCCTCCTCTATAAAGACCCTCGCCTGTGATATTCCATAGTGCTCTATACTATCCCCTCTTCTCCTCAGTATCTACCTGAGACCACTAGGAGAGACAAACAACTACCATGGGCTCACCTGCCAACAATATGCCAGTGACTCAACTATGTACAGGGAGTCATCAGACGCCACTTACAACGCTTTTCAATTGACTACCTGTTTTGCCCCTAGAACGCTTGTTTCGCCCTTACGACGCTTGATTTGCATAAAGTTTGCCTGAAATCACTTCCTGGTTGCATTATACTGGTATAGAGCTGGAAAGGGTCGCTTCTGATTGGCTTCGAGGGAGCAGGGTAGCTTTTTTGCTGGGTAGGGTTGCTGCTTATTTTTGATTGGCTGGGGCTGGAAGCCAATCAGAAAGCTTGAACAGCAATTGGCTGAGGCTCAGCATGTGTGCCATTCTCCTTGGCTTTCTGAGCCTGTGTTTCCGGCATTCTGAGCAGCATATGTGAGTTTATGTGTTTATTTGAAGGCTGTTTACAAAATACAGTGTACAGTAAATACACTGATATTGCAACATTAGTCATCTATAATTAATTTACTACAAAAATCTGGGTTACTGTGGTGAAAATAGTGTATCAAGCCTTGGTTCAGGAACCAATCCCCCCCTTCAGATCATTGATTCCTATGGGAAAAGCAGTTTCGACTTACAACATTTCGACTTACAATGCAATTCTGAGGAACAGATTGTGTCGTAAGTCCAAGGACTCCCTGTATCTCATTCACAACTAATGCAACTACGACTACTACAAGATGTCACAGTGCCTATCAGAAATCAAAGAGTTTTGGACTTAAAGCAGGGATACAACCTGTTTACTCTGTACTATAACAAGCCTGACCCCTGGGGAAAGGAGACAAAGTCTGCAGGAAGTCATCTAGCTTGTACATAGAAAGGCCCACAGCAGACACAGGGAATGGCAGACTTAATGACAGTCAGAGTCGGAGATGTTTCCACCTCCATGGGCCTTGGCCTCGATTGGCCAAATTAAAGGGTTTTTGAATTGCTAGCTCTATGGGGCCAGAAGGGGGGAAAGGCAGCTATGACCATTAGTGGTGGTAACCACGAGGGAAAGGCTGCAGGATAACAAGATCTCGGAGAGGATGATTACATTTAGTGGAGTAAGGTGACAGCTGTAATTGTGAGTGAGTAGCCCCTTTCCTTTTGTTTTGACGCTAGTTCCAGGACTCGTTCAGAGGCACCAGACAGCTGTAATCATTAAAAGCTAATTTGTTCTTCATCCTATAAGTGATCTCCTTGTGCCTGATTTCTCCAACTCCAGTTCCAACCCATCAAACCCAGAATTTTCTTTCGTCTGCATCCACCCCGCCACTCAGGGTCCCTAGCCTTTCCCCAGGGGAAGAGGGAAGTAACACTATAAAAAATACAGCACATCCTCTCCTAATTAACAGCACTTATCTCAGAATACAGAACACATTTTCTGAGGGTTTACAAGTAAATCCTTTGATCAATTTATCCATTAAAATTAAATAAAACTATGTCCTTTAAGAAATTAGCCTTCTGTGTCCATCTTTTATTTGTCCTGAATTATCTTAATGGAATAATGCAGACACTTCAAACTTTCAATGAAAATAAAATTAACTGAAATCTTGTGCATATGCTATATTTGAAGAAATGAAGTTATAATTAAGCTAAGTTATTAAAAGTGTATCTAATTTATGCTTATATCAGGAACAGTCAGGCTTAGGTCCGCAGTAAAGGTAAATTAAGTGGGGCTATTGTGACATCAGAGTTACTCAACCAAACACCATCCTTTCTCTAAAGCTAATTTTCATGCAATAATTCTATTGGTTGAAATTACTCAGCAGTATGAGGGAGACTGGGCGCACGTCAAGTATTCTCATTGATAGATTAGTCGTCTCCACTGTCATTACTCGTTAAAGAGTCTGTGGCTACATGCCAGCTTGTGCATCAGCACTTGAAAGGCTTGCCAAGTCACTGCTTCCCTGGTTCACTGTGCATTGAGGCGACACTGCCAGGGGAACTGAGGCAGTAGTGCTGGGGGAGCTCAAAGCACAGACACACTGGGACTCAGAGGCTGAGTTCTCCCTGCCCCCTTCACATACCACCGGCCTCATTAACACTGTCCTCTAAACCAGTACGGCTGCATCTTAATTGATAAAAAATGCTGCATATTTACTGCTCATTAGATGTCTCTCTGCAAAAACAGTGGAGACAAGGCACTTTATATTTACAGCAAGACAACTAAGTGGGGTCAGTCATGCACAGAAGATAGAATGCTGACCTCACCTCACTGCCTTCACGGTAAAACCTACAAGTGCCTTCTCTCCATTTAGGATTTCCAAGTGAGAAAACTATTGCATGTTAATTATCTCACTGTAAAAAACCCACCTTTGTATCAGTGATGACAAACCCTAAGGCAGAGGTTCTCAAACTGTGGTCCATGGACCACCAGTGGTCCACGAGCTCCATTCAGGTGGTCCGCAGATAGTTCCCACTAAGATGCTAGCCTGGGCAGCCGCACACAATAGAATGAAAGGCCACCCACCTAATTAGGGGAGCCACGCAGGCTTGGCTCCATTGATTAGGTGCCTGGACCCTGGAGAAGACGCACATGTAAGGTGAGATGCTGGACTTGGAGGGAATAGAGGGGTAGGTGGGAGGGGGCAGTGGGGCGAAAAGAGGGGGTGGGCGGAATTTCAGATGTGCATGGCTGCGGCGACCAGAGAAAGAGGCAACTTTCCACAGCTCCAGGGCTGTGGCTGCTGAGGAGATATGGCCCTCCGTCCCAGCTTCAACTCTGTGGCTGCTGTGGCGGGGGAGAGACCCCCCTCCTTCCCATCCCCAGCTCGGAGGCTGCTGCGGTGGGGGAGAGAGGGAGACCCCCGCCTCCTTCCCAGCCCAAGCTTGGGGGCTGCCGCAGCAGGGGAGAGAGGGAGAGACCCCCGTCCTCTCCAGCTCGGGGGATGCCGCGGCGGGGGAGAGGGGGCACATCCATTACATTATAAAGGTAAGACTACTGATATTAAAATATGAGTTGTGTGCTTTTATTTGTAGAACAAAAAAAAACTTTTATTACTATTAAGGTTTTTTTATATAGTGCTTTATCCAAAGGGCTTTACAATAGTTAGCTAACAGTACAAACAACATTTGGAAAGATCATTAAGTGGTCCACCGAGATCCTCAGCAATTTTCAAGTGGTCTGCGAAAAAAAAAGTTTGAGAACCACTGCCCTAAGGGGTGGTCTACACTTACAGTGCTGCAGCACTTAGTGAAGACACTACCTATTCTGATGGGAGACCACCTTCTGTTGGCGTAGGTACTCCACCTCCCCGGGTTGGGATAAACGTATCGCTCGGAGGTGTGGATTTTCCACATCCCTGAATGACTTAGAGTAAACCAAGCCTAAAACGACTGCAAATTAACGGCCAGATTGACCAGTACATCTCATTGGCTTTGATTTTTTTTTGTGATGCAAAGCAG